GCTGAAGGAACAGTGACGGGCACAGAATCAGAAATGGATCTTTGACCAAGGGTCTGCTACTACATCACAAAGAAGACTAACTTATCCCCTCCACAGTCCGTTTTAGAGAGAACTTTCCTATCTTTTTTGGCCATTCCCAAGCTCTTTCCTACTACTCAGGATTTATACAGATAGAGAGCAGACACTTATCCCCTTGCTTTGCTTATCAAACAATTGTTTAGATTACAATCTAAACATAGGCACAAATACAGGCTGGGCAGAGATTGGCTGGAGAGCAGCCCTGAGGAGAAGGACTTGGGGGTTTCAGGAGATGAGAAGCTCAATATTCCTTGGCAACATACAGCTGCAAACCCCTGCATCCTGGGCGTGGCTTGCTTTGCTTATCAAACAATTGTTTAGATGACAATCTAAACACAGGCACAAATACAGGCTGGGCAGAGACTGGCTGGAGGGCAGCCCTGAGGAGAAGGACTTGGGGGTTTCAGGGGATGAGAATCTCAATATTCCCTGGCAACATACGCTGGCAGCCCAGAAACCCCTGCATCCTGGGCTGCATCCCCAGCCCCGTGGCCAGCAGGGCCAGGGGGGGATTCTGCCCCTCTGCTCCGCTCTGGGGAGACACCCCCCAGTGCTGCCTCCAGCTCTGGGGCCACCAACAGCAGAAGGACATGGAGCTGTTGGAGAGGGGCCAGAGGAGGCCACAGAGATGCTGGGAGGGCTGGAGCCCCTGTGCTGGGAGGGGGGGCTGAGAGAGTTGGGGGGTGGGGCTCCAGGAAAGCTGGGGAGGGACTCTGGATGAGGGAGGGGAGCCATGGGAGGAGGGAGAAGGGTTGGACCCTGCAAGAGGGGAGATGGAGCTGAGCTGTGGGGAAGAACTTGTTTGGTGTGAGGGTGGTGAGAGCCTGGCCCAGGTTGCCCCGAGAAGCTGTGGCTGCCCCATCCCTGGGGGGGTTCAAGGGCAGGTTGGAGGGGGCTTGGAGCAACGCGGTGTGGTGGGAGGTGTCCCTGCCCAGGGCAGGGGGTGGCACTGGGTGGGCTTTAAGGTCCCTTCCAACCCAAACCATTCTGTGATTCTATGATTTCCTCTCCATAGCAGAGCCATTCATGTCCCCGTATCAGAAGTGGCACCTCAGGTGGTACCTCCCCAGATTTTTGCTATAGACCACCGCACATGTCCTTCCGTTCAACCTACCTCATCTATTTCCTTTATCCATCGGTCTATCCCATCGAAGGACCAGCGATTAGTGATGTCGTACACCAAGAGGATCCCCTGGTGGAAGAAAATCAGGGGCAATCAGGAAGTTTCATAGTAGGAAAATGAAAGGAAGACCCACCTGAAAGACCACTCCCCCAAAAGGCTAAGGGACAGAACGTCGCTCCAGTCACGTTACTTGTGTGTTTACTAGGGCTAACATTGAGACCAAAGGTCTGTACTAACTAGTCCTGGACTATTAGGGAAGGTTTTATTCCTCCTCTGCCTTGAAAATCCCTCAAATAATTTCCAAAGCAGCAATCTTTACAAATGAAGAGGAACTGCCTTGGTGACTGCATCTGGAGGAATAAGGCTGTGTGAGACACACTCCCCTCCTGTCACAAACCTGATCCACACTCACTGAGGCAGAAACAGTCTTTTTCCCTTCTGCAGAAGAACTGCGTTCAGCAACAGGATGGCAGCAGAACTCACCACAGTTAATAAAGCACACCCATCTCCAGCATGGCAGCAGGTGGAACTGGATGATCTTTAAGGTTCCTTCCAACCCAAACCAGTCTAGGATTTCCCTTTCCAGGACCTGTCTCACTCTGTCACCCCTTTGCTGGCAAGGAAGAAGGTGAGCGATGCCAATAAGCACCAAGGCGTCTCTGCAGGACTGAGATCTCATGACTGGGATCCAGGCCAGGCTTTGTTGAGGGCAGCCAGTACTGCTAATTGTCACCTCCACACTGGCAGGTGACGAACACAGCACAGTGATGCTGGCAAACCGCAGGGGGTCAGACCAAAGGTCTTGCTGTAGGACCTTCACCCTGTCCTTTCTTCTGGAAAGAGAGGTACCCATTGCATCCTGACACTGTAGAGAGGTTGGTACTGGTCTCTTCTCACAGGTAATTAGTGACAGAACGAGAGGGAATGGCTTCAAGCTCCAACAGGGGAGGTTTAGACTGAACATTAGGAAAGAATTTTTCACTGAAAGAGTGGTCGGGCATTGGAACAGGCTGCCCAGGGAGGGGGTGGAGTCCCCATCCCTGGCTGTGTTTAAGGGCCGTTTAGATGCAGTGCTGAGGGACATGGTGTAGGGGAGGACTTTGTAGAGTAGGGGAGATGGTTGGACTCGATGATCCCAAGGGTCTCTTCCAACCTCAATGATTCTATGATCCTCAGCCCACATCCATCTTCCCTGGTCACCACCCACACCCACCACTCACTCCCCAGTCACCTCTCGAGGTGCAGCACAATGATGCTGGCAATCAGGACAGGCACAATCATGGCAGGGAAGTCTGTGGCTGCAGCCATGAGGACAAGAAACATCACCTTGGGGGTTTCTCCACCCTCTCCCCGAGCCCAGCGAGCAGGACCCAGGACCACAACCAGACTGCTAGCCACCACTCAGGTCCACAGCAACTCTTAATGAGTGAGCTTTTCTCGAATCGAAGTATTTCTGAGGACAGGCACAAGGAAAGTAGGCTGTGCATGGCCCTGCAGGCACCCAAGTCACAGCATCAGGAGCTGCCTCTCGGTACCAGTCGGGCACATACAGCATTTAGAGAATTGTCTTTAGCAGCAGCCTCTCGGCAGCTCTCCCGTTATTTTTCTGACTTCTTGTCACTCTCTTCTTTGCTATCGAGGACATTTCAAGTGACAACAGGCACTTGAAGATGCCCTGAAAGGGGAACTAGGGAGGAACAGATGATCTCGCAGCGTGAGCGGAGGCAGCCCAGCGGGGAACACCGGATGAAAGGTAACCCCAGTAGCAAAAGGACGAAGCCAAGGGCAAAACAAACCAGCCCGGGTGAGACTCCAGGACCACAGACCATTTAGCAGCAAGCTTGGCAGAACTGGTTCCTTCTGAATTGGGGGTATCCTCCAGGAACAGCTGTCCCTACAGCAAGATCTTAAGCTGGCAAAGGAAATTCTCAGCTAGCAGCCTGGTCCTCCCCAGGAGATGCCTAGATCCAACCCAGTGAAGGAGGGAGCTGAAAAACTGCCTACATCTGTCCTGGTACAACACAGAGACTGTCAAGCATCCTCATGGACCAGGGGAGTCGCTCCTTTATTCACTGAAATGGAAAATCCACAATACAGATGGGAAAAACAAACTACCCAGTCCTCCTGAAACACAGCCTTAACAATATTTGCTGCTGCCAAAGCCGTGATGGACTGGGGGCACCTGTACGGAACCCACCTACGAAGATGTGATGTACCTCAAGTTTATAAAAAAAAATAATCAGCAGCGTGAGATCTGGAGCACATGGGAATGATAAAACACCAGGGCACCTGAGCCACAAAGGCACTTGAATCCTCACAATACAATGACTTCTTGAGCTGGCACTTGAAGTATTTCTTTCCCTGGGAAAAGCAGCCTTTCCCCAGTAGGAAACAGCCTTTCCCCAGTACGCTGCGTGCACCTCGACGCTGTTTGCCTTTCTCTCAAAGCCCTCTCAGAATAAGCAGCTCTCACAAAGCCTGCCCAATTTTATCCTTTTTAACAATTCTGATTGTTGAGCTTTATCCCAACCTCATTGCACAGTTCTTTCACCCCAGGTGAAGCTTGATTTTTGTGTCCCTGCTGCCCCTCCAACACCTACACATCCGTGGTTGTACCATTGGCAGAAAGGCTCAAATGTGAAAAAAACCAAACAAAACCAGAAGGGGAGAGGGTACCAAAGGCAAGTCATGCCTGGTGGGCTGGTTTTCATGTCTGACAGCTCAGAATGAAGAGCGAGCCCTTCAAAGTTTGTGTTTGAGGCTGTTCCGAGGGACCTGATGATCAGCTTTCATAACTGCAGAAGTATTTGTGGGGCAGGGGGAGCAGATGCATCTTCAATTTCCTCCAGGGAAAGTTTGGAGCTCATGCCTAGAGTCCATAATATTTTGCGGGGTAACTTCTAGAACATTTCCAGAACATACTGAAAAAGAATTGGTTGTTTTTGTTTTGGAGAAAAGAATCAGTTTCTCCTTGGTTTAGAAATGAAAAAATAAGAATGAAGTAATGGTTTTCCATAATTAAAAGATTCCACAAAACCAAAGCTGCTGCTTTTCAAGAACCCATTCGAGAAATACCTACTAACAGGATACATCACATTTTAAGCACTCTGAGCTTTCTTTTCATTTTTGTTATATTAGTTTTGACTTCTAGGTTCCAAGGCTGCACATGTGAATGAATGAGCATCAGGAAATAACAAAAAGTCTGATGACACCCCCCACCCTGCCTTCCAAGACAAACTGCCGGCAAGTTAAATAAAGTCTACTTATTTTATTTCTGGATTGACGAGTTCCTTTAGCCAAGAGAAACAGACCCAAAACCTAGTTTGTGAAGACCGTTTCTGCCAGAAATATGCTCTGGGAGGAGAGAGTTCTCAAGCTGGCTGGCAGCTGCAGCCTGGGTCTTCTTTAAATAGGAATAAGGATAAAAACATCAGCAAAAACCACAGCCCCAAGTTCTCAGGAGCAGGGTGGAAGGTCAAGACCATCATTTCTAAAGGCAAGAGACAACACGCCGTCTGCCAGCTTGCCCTCCAAGTCATAACACAGCTCCAGGCAGGCACACTTGGAGAAGACTGTCAAGGAAAGCTTCCCAAAGGTCAGGAGGCACCAAGGCCAAGCTGTCTCATGCCTTGCTTCTCTCCTCATCCTCCCCAGCACGGGTGTGAAAAGCAGCTTTACTTTTACTCAGCAGAAGATGGAGGAAACAGTCTTAAAAATCTGGTGGTGCTGCTGGATCACCTCATACTTGTCCCAGGCAGCGCTGGCACGCTCCAGACACCGCGTTTCTAGAGCACACATCCCAAATGCACATTGTCATTATCTTTTTCTCCCCTGGAGAGAGCAGTGCACAGACGTGCACGCAGACAGGGAGCTGGCTCCAGCTCTGCAGACAGCTCCAAGTAAGATCTGTTGGGTTTTTCAGTTTGTTTCTTTTTTAAAGAAAAAAGTCTCCTTTGGAATCACGTGCACAGAATTTTAATTTACTCAACTAGACAAATGAACAGCTTCCCATTTGCAGCCTAAATTGTTCTCTAAGTGCTTAGGCGGCTGTCAACACCATAATATCTCTGTACCTCTCAATTTTTAGTTTCACAAAGCCCCGTGTAAGCGTTACATGCCCCAGGTTCCCACGACATGAGGTAAAAAGCCACAGGATCTCAGGTCAGGGCTATTCTGGCCCCCTCACCAACCCTTCAGCAGCCAGTCTTCTTTTTCTCCCCAACCTGCCTACAGGCTTCTCTGTGGAAGATGACTGGACTCACTCCCAGACCTGTTCCGTGTCTTTTCACAGTTGATTTTCAAAGTTAATTTCCAGTCTGGTTTTGCTCCACGCTACTGGGGTTGGCAGGACCCGAAGCACACCAGGGACAGAAACTCCCACGTGAGCACTTCGTGTAGTGGACAAAGGACACAGAGAGATCCCCCGTTATTGTATCCAGCACCACATGGGGACACTTACTCTGCCAAACCCCAAACTTGGTTTCAGCAGGAGCTTACACAAGGATCTCTCCCCATAACCATAGGGAAAAAAATAAGAAGCCTCATCCCTGCCTGCTCGCTGCCTGTTTAGACCAGGCCTGTGAGTAACAAGCTTTTAAAGGAGAGAGAAGCAGCAATGTTCACCCATCGGCTCACACACCACACCAGAAGAGGGCTGGGGGGAAGCAGGTGCTGCTGTGACTGCCAAAGACATCAGCTCTGGGCAGGGGGATGCCGGGGTGGCCGGGAAAGCATCACTCACTGATGCTCTACACTGATGGAAAAAAAGTTGGTGCTGAAGAAGCCTGGAAGACCTACCCTCCCAGACTGGATTTCTCTGACCCACAGGATGAATAAAGTAAACCATAAACAAAAGATCCAGCGCTGACGGCAACCAGAACACTGTGTCTCTCCTGCCTGCTCTCTCCTGTGACGTTTGGTCACCGCTTTCCAGCTGGCACCTCGGCCCTTGGCTCCTGGGCAATCGCATCCCGCTGCCAAACCATTTCCCAACAGCATAACACATCGATGGAGGGGGGGCTGTTCATTTATCACTGAGCTTTTGATAAATATTTTGGCAGGCAGGGCAG